CTTGGCGGTGGTTATTTTTCGTTCAGCTGAAATTTGGTGGGATGCAAGATAGCTCCGGTCTCCAAGTGGGAGAAAAATGGCTTATCCATCTTTTAAGATTTTGGCAAGTTTTCCCCCCCCAAGATTTGTTGAATGCAGACTTCTGAGGTGTCTACTAGCAATCTCCTAAGTAGGTAGATCTGTGAGGTATACAGGCAACCCTCAGCTAACAACCACCATCAAGCCCAAGCTCAAGAATTGATGTTGCTAAGTGAGAAATGTACTGAGTTTTGTCCCGTTTTATGACTTTTCTTGCCACGGTTGTTAAGTGAATCTGGCTTCCCTACTGACTTTGCAGTGGCCACGGAGAATATCCAAGTGGCGTAAATATTACATTAATACCGTGTTTCCCTGAAAATACGACCTACCCTGAAAGTAAGTCCCCAAAATAAGCCCTAATTAAGATCCTGCCCACTCCAGGGTGCACGGGTAAAAATTAAGCTAGGGTGGGGATGGTGGGGGGTGGAGCTGCCCTACTACTTACCTTTGGGCAGGTGTAGCCGGGCCTCGCACACCCCAAAACCTCCCTTGCTGGGCCATTTTATTCCGGATCGATCCGGAGCTCTGTTATCAGAAGGCAGAAGCCTTCAGGAAAACCTTGCTGGCCACAGAAGAAGTTCCTGAAGGTCTCTAAACGTGAAAAGGAGGCTGGGTGGTGGTGGGGCGACACGTGCAAGTGAGGTGAGTCAGAGGATGACATTCCTTGAAAATAAGACCCGGTGCAGGGTCTTATTTTCAGGGAAGCACGGCAGCGTTACTGAATAGATTAACCACGTCTTTGGAAATAGCAAAATTCCTCATCGTCTCAACATCCCCTCTGAAATAAGCGAGGTACGTTCATTTTAGAAGATGTTCTAAGGACAATTCCTTCCTTCCACCTCCCTTTATCAACTCCACTATAGGCACAGCAGCCTAATAAATCATACTTTTTTCATATTATTGTAAATACGCCTCATTACCATTTTCAGCTCGTTCTTTGCTTATTGGATCTAACGCGATTTAAATACGGGAAAGATGTAGATCTGTGTGCCTGTGTTTTGTAGGGAGAGAAAAGCAGTGCACAAACAAATGGCTTGCAATGGCCACCTGACATCCCACACAGGTTGTCATTCCACGTACTTCAACCCAAATTTGTCCACGAAGGTTTTATGCAGACATGCCCACCTGTTTGGCTCTCTTGTCTGCTTGACTTATCCAATGGCATTCTCTCCCGAGAATGCAAGAGTAAGCCTCAAGTCAAGAGGAGGTCAAGAGCCTGATTTCAACCCTTTGACCCTGAAGTCCCAGGTTAAAACCACACAACCAGCAGATTCCTGAGAGCAATCATCCATGCCACAAATAAGAGTGACATTTATCTCAGCCAGGGTACCAGGGGAAAGGAAAAACAAGTTTGAATAGCTTTGCTAGTGTCAACTTGGCCTTTGAATCTGCTGTTATTCTTGGAGGAATGGGACAAGTTACCATGACCAACTCACTTCAGGACAATTTAACAATCCAATTTAATTATTTAAAATAAATTTAAAAACATATTTCAATTTTTGTCATTTGTATTTCATTTCATCCCTCCTTTTTCATCCTTTCTTGAGTGAGTCTATTCCACCATTTCTTTCTCTTGTCCTGCAGTGAGTTGGCCGCACCAAGTTGGCCATGGTTGAGTTGGCCATGGCAGATTTTACTGATGTTGGATGGGAAGGATTACTGTTGGTCACAATTTGGAGGACAACTATCTCTATGGAAAAGCCAGAAGGTCTTTCCTAAGTTCTCCACCTTCTCACATTTGTGGAGGTCCAGAAGATGGAACTTGGAACATCTGCAACAAGGGGAATGGCATCCATGTGAGATCAAGACATTCATGCCATGAAGGTGGTCGAACAACTAGTGTGTTGCAAGCTAAGGTGGGCAAGTTATGTAACCACTCAGTTGCCAGGGGATTTGGTTTCAAAAGGATGTGGTATTCTAATTTCTTTTGTCAAAGAGGGTCTTGCTTTGGGATTTTATTTCATTTTTAAAAACAACAACAGCCGCCAATCTCTTACCTGAAGTCATTTAAGAAGGCAGTTGATGTAGGCAGCAATTTCAAGACACTGGAAAAAGATGTACATTTTCACACATTGTTAACTTCTGGAATGCATTAATACGATCGTGGGGGGGGGGAGCGAGAGACTAATTTAGATGCTTATAGGGAGAGGTGCCTGTGGGTGACAGCCTTACCATGGATCACTGGATCTGACAGGCGATAATAAGGATCCGATCAGATCTAATAGGAGTTGGAATCCAGTAGGGACAACTGGTCCTTCTACCCAAAGTTGCTTTGTGCTTGGCCTTCAAATTATGAGAAATAAATATTGAAAAGACCTAAAGGAACTTAACTCAGATAGTCTTCAACTTCTGACCAAAATTGGGACAGGAGCTTCCCTTGTTAAGTGAGGCGATCGATAAGTGAGTCAGGCCCAATTTTACCATCTATTTTGTCGTGGCCGTTAAGCAAATTGTCTGGTTGTTCAGCTAATCTGGCTTCCGCCACTCATTTTGCTTTCTGGAAGCTGCCTGGGAAAGTCACAAATGACAATCACGTGAGTCCAGGACACCGCAACAGTCATAAGTATATGCCAGTTGCCAGCACCCAAATTTTGCTCATGGGATTGTCAGGATGCTGGGATGGTCGTAAGTGCAAGGGCCTGTTGTCACTTTCCCCAGCCCTGTTATAGCTTTGAACAGTCATTAAACAAAAGGTGGTTAAGTCAAGAACTACCTGTAAATCTTATTCCTGGAATTCTTCTGCTTTCAAAAACGTGTGGCTAGCATCAATCTAACATGACCCTAAAAGAAGAGACAATCAGTAAGAGGATCATGGCTTATATAGATCTCCTCTAACTTGAGCACTGAACTTGCCAACAAATACTCAACCTAAGTCTCTAAGTCAGTTTTCCCCAACTTTGAGATTTCCGGGTCTTGATTCCCAAAATTTTCAGCAATGGCTATGAAATTTCAGCAATAAAACTCAGTTTTACCTTAATTCAGCCTTTCTCAAATCTGGATACTATTAAGGTTTCTGGAATCCAACACTCAACAATGGCTGTTCTAATTGGAGTATCCTAAGGAATTAAACTCCACACATCTCGACAGCCTCCAGATTGACAAAGTCTGATCAACTCGAGAGGTGTGTACCTTGGTGAAGCGAACCCTTACTTTGACAACTTGTTTTATGAACATAGAAAACATTCTATCAAAGTTCTGCAGAACTTGGGGGCCATCTAGTCTACCCCCAATACATTCCCAGGGTAGCTCAGCAGATGCTTCTAGAAGTCCGTAAGCAGGAGATGAGGTCAAGAGTTGTCTCCAATACATGTTTCCCCAAAATGGATAATGAAAAATGTAATAAAAACCAACCATGAAATTTGAGGGCAATCATACCTGATGGGAGCTTGGCTGAACTACCTGAGGTTGATGGGATATGTAGACCAAAACATCTGGAACTCAGTAACGGGAAGAAAGGACTCAGAGCAGGAGTCCAACATCCTTCTCAAGGGCCCCATGTTGGCTTACCCTCTGACCTAACTAGTCACCAAACGTGGAATCCCCGTGGCATTTCTGAGTGGCAAGCATCATAAAAAAAGTGTTTCACATCTTTGCATCTGCCAAGGTTTAATTTCGACTAGCAGCTGGGGAATAACAGCGCTGCTTTGGAATAAGTGCCCATCATGAGTAAAGCTAGACAGAATGCCATCACGGCTTGCCTTTTGCAATTACACGATGGATAAGTGGAGGTGGGGGAGGAAAGGGGTTTCTTCTAACCCCATCGAGGGGGGGAAAGATCCAAACCATAGTCGGCTCTAATTAACGTGTCCCGAAGCAAGGATCTGTAGGGTATCGCTGTCAAATCGGCATAAACAAATGGGAATCACCAACAGATGACTGCCAATCAAAGCTAAGAGAGCTAGAGGTTATGTGGAGACATGAAATTTGGCACTGAATTCCTTCACCATTTTTTTTTTAAGTTTTAATACACTCAGAATGGCGAACAACCTGAAATAAAATTGGGTGCTCCAGAATATCTCTGGCCCTACCTTTTATAAAAAATTGCTTTTCCAGGTAAAGGTTGTCATTACAGCCCATCTAACTTTGCCTCCCCGTTCAGCATCTTTTTTTGACTCTTTCTCTTCCCCTCCAAGAAATGTCATAATTATGACGACGTGGCTCGATTTCTCTTATTATTTTCCGGGTTGTTTTTTTCCCCCCACCTCCTCTCTCCTCCATTCCCACTCCCCTTATTTCCAGGCAGTGCAGCGACTATAACTTAATGGCCCCAGAGGCGGCCATATTTTTTTTTTTGGCGGGGTGAAGAGGGGTTCCCATTTGGTTTGATGGAGAGTAAAAGAAAGGAAAAGAAAACCCGAGGGGAAATAAGGAATGTCGCTTTAGGAATCGCAGCTCTGTCTAAAGCATTTCCGTGGCCCCGAGGGTTTTCAGTCTGTTGTAGAAGAGGAAACATGCAGAACAAAATTGGGACAGTCCTCTCCAATTTTTTTTCTTCAGCTTGGACCAACTTTGCATCGGGGGCAGCCTGCAGAAAACACTGTTGAAAGGGACCCCCAAAGCAAGGCAGGTGGGAAGGGTCTGCCTCCATCATGATGGGGTTCGAGAAGAAACTAACCACAGGAGCATCGGCATTTCCTTGGTCCAACCCTTGGCAACCTCGGTTTCTTTTTGAGAGCGATGCGTGGTCCTTTTTAGTCGTTCTGACTGAGGATTCCTTTGCCTGTCTGTTTCTCGGGGCCTTAATGCTCCTTGTCATCCCAGGTGACCAATATCAGAGTGGAGGAAAAGAAGAAAAATATGGCTGTGTGAGGTTTATTTTCTTGTTTTCAGCTGGAAAACGGGAAGGAGCTCCTCACGACATCGGTCCAGGAGAAGAAGTTCGGAAGAGCGGGGCTGGTTTCCCACCCCTGCCCAGTTCCTTTTCATGAGGCAAAGTAGGAACTCTGCATAGAATACAGCCTATCAATGGGGTTTCCTATCCTGGCTTGCATGGAGTTTACTTCCGAGGAAGCCAAGAAACAGTCACTCAAGCTCGTTAAAGACGTGTCGCTGTCGATGTCATGAAAAATGGAGTCATTTCCTGATGGAGAGAGAGAGAGAAAAAAAAAAAACAGAATATAGACCTGTTAATAGGCTGGGTTGACTGACACAGGGTGCTATAAACGTCTGAGACGATGATCCATGTATATCCCAACACTGCTTTTTCTTTTCCAAAGGCAAACAGACTTTGCTTTTTCCTTTGTGCTTCTCACCCAAGAAGTTCTGAAGAAGCTTCTTGGAGGAGGAGAAGCGAAAAGCAACTTTGGGAAAACCATGACCTGGACGACCAAGAATCTCCATAGAAATCACTCCTTATCACCCATCCCCTCCCACTTATGACAGTGTGACTGAAACTTTGTCACTTGTATCCTTAAGATTTATATTGACTGTTTTCTAGTATGATTCGCTCGCCTATTTGTATCCTATGACTATTATTAAGTGTTGGACTTGATGATTCTTGACTCTTGACGGATGTATCTTTTCTTTTATGGACACTGAGAGCATTTGCACCAAAGACAAATTCCTTGTGTGTCCAATCGCACTTGGCCAATAAAGAATATTTTATTCTATATGATCCACATATGATTTCACCCATGCAAGGAATTCACACAAGCACACCCATTTCCATCAGCTTTAAACCCTTCCTGTGCAACAGAGATCTATCATGATATGGTTCTCTTTAGAAGGTTGAAGATGTCCACCATGTAAAACTTGGAATTGTGCCACCCAAGAAATGTTGGCCTTGAAGGGCAGTACAGGAGAACCCTTTCGCAATGCGCAGCAGTCTGATTGCTCGTGGGGAAACAGGCTACCAAGAATATGTCTTGAAGTCTCCTGTTCTCAGATGGACAGGAATGTGTCCTGTTTAATGAAAAGAAGGGCTAGATGTCCCAATTATGTTGGAGGTACCATTTTTTTAAAGGCTCTTCCAGGTTGAAAGGGTAGCAGTGTTCCAATGCTTGAAGGCCTACCACAAGAAGACAGGGTCAACCTACTCTCCAAAGCACCTGGAAGCAGAACAAGACGCAACGGATGGAAACTAATCAAGGAGTGAATCAACCCAGGACCTAAGGAAGGATTTCTGCGGGAGCAATCAATCAATGGAACAGCAAAAATTATGGGCACTCCATCATTGAGGGTTTTAAGAAGAGATTGGACGAGCGTTTGTCTGAAATGGTATAGAATCTCCTGCTTGTGCAGCGGGTGGACTAGAAGATCTCCAAGGTCCCTTCCAACACTGATATTCTGTTACATCTGGGAGAAGGCTGATGAGACCAATTCTTCTTGTTGTACTAACTTTACTGCTTCTCTGTCTCCATCTCTGAATTTGCATCTACACTAAACTTGAAAATGACATACTCTAGGCAAACTCAATTCATGGGATTTTGGTAACGTCAGAAATCTAGCAATATCTGGGGAGCTGGAAATACCCCTGCTTCAATTTTTGCATCACTGCAAACCTGGATTGACGTGGCCAACTTTTGGTTAAGGCCTTTACTAGCTGCAATGTAGAATTGTGGACCCAGGAGGAATTTCTGCACATGATTCCCACATCTGGATATACTTCTCTTCCAAAGAATGACCGCGAATAGCAAACTAAAGCATTGGAGAATTTTTTTTAAGAAGCCTATCTTAAATCTCCAGGGTGTTTGGTTTCTGGGAATAATAAGGACAACAATAACAATAATACTACTCGGATGCCCTGGGTGCATTTTGAGCTGTCATAATCTTTTGGAAGGCTGTGCTGTATTGATTTTCTCTGCTGAAAAAAAAATCAGAATAATTTGCACTTGAAGAATCAGATGAAGAGGAAAAAAACAGGCCTGGCTCTTTGGTGGAGATTTTAATGGTACTAAAATAGCATCATTGGGCGGGATGTAAAAAATGGTTGGGCTCTCTGCCAGTAAATTGTTTGCTTTGCAGTCTATAACATTTCAAAACAGTTTGAAATGAGGGGGGGGGAGGAGAGAGAGTGAGAAACAGAAAGAGAAAGAGAGAAAGAAAAAGAGAAGGAAAGAGACAGAAAGAGAGTGGGGGGAAAGAGAAACAGGGAGAAAGAGGGAGAACAGAGGAAGAGAAGAAGAGAGAGAAA